AGCAATTAGATCCTATCTTTTAGGCCAATATATTAATATTGACCCCGAGACTATAACTTTCCATTTTGGGCTAGATGATTATATAATAAGAATGAAACTATGGAATATCCCTATGTTCCAAACTCTAGTGTTAGTACTCTATGATCTCATGACGATCGTTTTCTTCATTTGATGATCTCTTGGTGGTTTAGACCATCCGGAGGTAGGTACTCCACTATTCGTGCTAGGGATTTATGGTGAATGCATTGTATCAAGAATAAGAACAAAATAAATCTGCCCCACATTATATTTAGTCAACTAGTGGATATCATAAACATTGTTCCATCAAAACATGTCGAAACATTAGTTTATGGATGTCTTCTTAGTAACCTTTTTATCAAAACTCGGTCTAAACATCTCTCTCGACAATCTCATTCCTCTCCAAAACCCATTAATCTCATTTCATTGAAGAAAGCGGATTGGAAACAAGACGAGGAAACCGATCTTTGGGTCTTTCGACCCAGTAAACAACTCCGGGAGTGAGTTCTTCACGAGATGCTCGTAGCTCCTCTCGTGCTCCTCCTCCTCCGGCACCGACTGCAGACGATGATCCAAATTTCAGCAGCTTAAGCAAGATATCGACGATCACGTACCAGATGATGAGCCTGCACCAGAACAAGCTCCACAGAGGATCAAGTGCTCCATATTTTCGTTCGTTTTTTGGAGATATTTGATCTACGGTATGCTTCCATCGAATCCCACTTGACTGCTATTCATAAAGCAGTAAATCATCGTTTAGACACTTTGGAAGCTCGACAGATGGAGTTTCAAAGGGAGATGCTTGCACGTATGGATGCTCTTACTCTTGAGATGCAAGCACGATTTCCCTCCTCCTTTCGATCCTTCTATGGAAGAGTAGACTTTGTTTTGTTTTGGAACAACTTAGAACTTTAATTGTTAAAACATTTTGAATGCTTTGGGATTGTTTTCTTTAGTTTGACGTTTGTTTGGATTTATGATTTATATGTTTGGATATTTAATCTTATTATCTATATTTGGTTTTAACGTTCAATTTGAGCTTAATGTTTATTAATTTTTGCATCATTAGACATATATGACCAATTATCCTTTACATGTTTATGAATATTGTTTATGAAAACTAATGGCTAATCTCTCTTTTGATTGTGATCTTAGCAGCTTAATCTATTTACTTATTATTAATTGGCTATACTTTTCAAAACCTTGTTTAAAACGTTTTAAAGTCTTTTGATTTAACAAAAGGGGGAGAAGTGTAAAAGGGGAGAAGTGTTAGAGTAAGGGGGAGTAATTTTTCAAAATTTATTTTCAAAGAAAATCTTAAAATTACACAAATGTTTTGTTATATCAAAAAGGGGAGATTTTGAAAACATTTTGATGTTTCGATATAACAAATTAAGTTTAAATGAATTTTAAGATTTTACAAATGATTTTCTAAGTGCATTCGATTTAATTAATCGAATATCAAATTATTACTCCAAGTCTTTCAAGATCAATTTCAAACCTTACTAAATGTGTAAAATTGTGTTTTATACTTAATATATTTTTGAAACAATTTTCACAAAGTATTTTGAACCAAAATCAAGCCTAAAATCAATTTTTCAAAGTGATGCACCGATGCATCAATCCATGCATCGATGCACCATGGAATAAATTGAACATCGAATGCATTTCATGGCATCAATGCACATACCATGCATCGATGCACTCAGGGTTTTATGAAAACATCGAATGCATTTGATGCATCGATGCACTCAGGCTATTTGAAACATCGAATGCATTTTATGCATCGATGCACTCAAATGATTTTATTAATTGTTTTCATACTTAAACGGCTCTATTGACTCCACTAATCATCCCCAACGTTCAGAATCAATTGAAGGATTATTTAAATAAGCTTAGAAGCCATTGATCAAAAACAAGAAATAACAAGAAACAACATACAAGAGAGAATCAAAGAGAAAGCATCAAACCTCAAGTTTGAGCATTTTCAAGCCTATTCCATTCAATATTCATTTTTGCTTTCAAGAACACTTATTGTACTCAATTGTATTATTCTTGAAGTGTTCTTTCTTTGTTATAGAATTGTGCAAACATCTTTCCTTGTGAGGATTTTCTTGTGAGTTTGCAAAATTTGTATTGTTCTCTTTGGGAGAGAGTGTTCTCAAGAATTTGGGGTATAATTCTTGAGGGATTTGTAAGGTTACTCTTTGTCCTCAAAAGAAAGACAAATTAGTGAATTTGTGGAAAATCTTTAGTGTGGATAGCTAAGGTAGTGGACGTAGACTTTGGTTGAGAAAGTCGAACCACTCTAAATCGCTGTGCAAATATTTTTTATTTTCTGCAAAAACTTCCACCAAAATTTTTTATTGCCAATTCACCCCCCTCTTGGCCGATTCCGTCGATCGATTAACTCAACAGACGCAACCACATACAATAAACTTGGTTGCACGACTTTTCGGGCATCCGAATCCCTCCTATGAGCTGTAATATGCAAGCTCGTGCATACATTTTAACTTGTTCCTCAGAGGCGTCGTGACTTAAATGTTTAAAATTTGTATCCAACCAATTTAACGGTATTCGACCACCATTGAAATTAGGCGGGACACCTCCAAGATACTCATCGCACAAGGAATGTTAGTCATCATTCGCCACTCCAAAAATCACATCCCTATCTACCGGAAGCCCCAAATGTATGGAACATCCTCCAACGTAATAATGCACTCTCCACATGGAAGATGAAATGTGTGTGTCTATGGTATCTACCTCTCAACCAGTGCAGAAATAAGGTTGGATTCAAGGTTAGAGTGCCCTTCATATTTCACTACGTAACTGAATCCAGTCTCGGCTAAATATGGGCAAACACGAGTAGATATCTCTAACTTAACGTTACGAATGAATGAATCTAATATACTGTCTCTCTTAATTTAATAACTAGTATACAAATTAAAATATAAACTAATACTAAAAAATTAAATAAATAATACATTCACAATAATTAAAATAACAACACAAATTAAAATTGTTATCGTATCGGTAAAATGCTTCGAGATATGATTCTCATCTAAACGTAGTAACCCGCCTTCCATTTTATAACTGCAAAAAGTAATAAAAAATTAGTATAATAAAATTTAATAAAATAATAAATAATTAAATAATTAAAATATAATAGAGAATACTTTACCTTCTTAATATGATTGATAATATGAAGAATGAGAGAATTTGAGATTTGACTGTGGTATTTTAGGAAGAGGGGAATAGTGAGACGAGTGATAATCAATGTAGGAGACAAACGTTGTGGAATTATTCGCGCCTTCCCCTTACATAGTGACAGTTGAGACAGAACCCTGTGAAGGCGCGGATGACGATCTGTGTTTTATTGTCACCATGTCAGAAAGGATGGTAGATAAGTAATTATTGAGAGGCCTTCAAATAGAGGGTAACGATCTTGGAAAATGGACAAGTTACGCCGTCAACATCGTCCCCGGCTTTCATTGAAGTCACCGGAATGGCGGTCTTTGCATCAGGTTACCTGTGAATCATAGGTGGGTAAATGCTTAAACTGGTACAAGAAGCACTATCCAATATAAACTAAATGACTGTCGAGAGTCGAAACAAACCTTCATGCGGACAAACCAGCGCAATTGTTTCGGCGGTCTGCAGAAGAATGCTGTATACGGTACGATTATTTGCCTGCACCAAAAGTATATAGAGTAGCATTTTGAATACTGTATATCTAGTTCAATATGAACATTCTTATGTTTAGAAGCCTTAAAGTATGAAAGAGTTCAGCATTATGAAAGTGAAGTGTATGCCATAAACAAGCCTTAAACCCAGAAAGGTTGCTTGTTTACCACCAGGGACAGCAACATAGGCATGGACAGGCCCCCGAACACATTGTAACACCTGAATTAATACTCAAATGGGTTCTTTTAGTTTTACTATATCTGCTCAAAGACTGGAGCTTTCCATGATTTAATCTGTAAAAGGTTCCAACTTGAACACATTAGTTCAATTAAGCTAATGAATGATACTTAAAAGCATTTCTAAGAGAGTGCATTAATAGTTTTGAACGTATAAGAACCTGAAACAGGGCAGCTGAGTTGGGGCTCTGACAAGAGACGCTGAAGCAGAGGACAACGATGCTATCGCCATTTTAACTCGATGGTTATGGTCGAAGTAATTGAGTTTTGATTTGGGGTTGAACTTGGACTTGTTTGCTGAGATTGGTCCAGACTGGATCTAATGGGATGGGCTTTCACTTGTCTTTTAATCTTTATCAGTAGGTTCTATAATTACTTTCTTTTTCTTTTAAAGATATAGTTATTATGTAATACTATTATTTGAAAAAGATGAATCCAATTTAATCATTTTGGACCGGTCCGGTGCATCAGTATTTAATTCTTTATATATAATATGTGTTCGGGTTGTCTGTTTAATATTTATAAACATATTTATTTCATATTTACAAATATATAATTTAATATATTTACAAATAATTAAAATTGTATTTATAAATAATAAATAAAAAAACATGTTTTTATTTTTCAGATATAATAATAAAAAAAATAAATATTAAAAATTATATTAAAAATAAATAAAATAAACAAATAATTTTAATTGTCTTTTATAAGAAAAATATCAACATTATATATACAAACGAACTAATAAATGAATTATAAACAAATTTATAAAGAACTAATAAACAAACTTGTTTTTGAAAAAATCGAATCGAACATACCACTATTCAAATTTGTTTGTTTAACTGAACAAACATAATATATTTATGATGGTTTATTTACTTAACAAGCGAACACAAACAAATAGTATACGAACATTCCACAGATAATTTAATTACAACCCCTAATTATAAGTACAATATTTAACTTGTAACTCAAAAATCATATTAGATCAAATTTAATAAAATAAAATTGAATATTATAATTAAAATCCATTTTCAAAATTAAAAAAAAATAGCACTACCGTCGGTGAAATTTCGGTCCTCTGTAACTTAGATTGAACTTTAAAACTCGTAGACTACAATTTTTGATGAGCTCAAGGTAATGTGATTTACAAAACAAGAATCGAGGGTTTCATGACTTGAGAATACCTCTTTCACTCATTCTGTTCATGATTTCTGATGCATCATTTAATCTGTTTGCTCTTTCATAAATGCTGGCAACAACAAGATGCAGCTCTTTCTTATTGATGTTGGGATCAGAATCAAGCTTTTCAAACAGCGATTCGATCATCTTAAAGTCTTTTCTCGCACCGTAAAGACTAAGCATTTGGAAGTGAACTTCATCAGGAAAAACACATCCTTCTTCCTGCATCTCCCTATACACAGCATCTGCCTTGTCAAACTCTCGTAGCTTCCCGTATGCGTTTAGCACCAGCGCAATCACATTAGAATCCGGAAAATACCCCGCACTCCTCATTTTCTCAAACACCTCGATGACATTTGTGTGCTTTTTGTTCCTAGAGTAAAGATCAATCATCAATCCGAACACGGATATATCCTTTACCTCACCAGCATCACATGCCTGCCTGAAAACCCATGTAGCTTCTTCAATTCGACCAGCACGAGCAAGAATGGTGATCGCAGTATCCCTAGGGAGATTATCTGGTTGCTTAAGCTCATGAAGCAAACGCTTTGCATGAGCAACCAATCCAGCCCTTTCATAGGCGACGATCATCGTTTGATAAAGCACCTGATCTATCTCAACTCCGGAGCTCCTCAACTTCTGAAACAACATAGCGGCCCTATCCAACTTCCCTGCCTTACCCCATATCGATATTATAGTTGAAAATGTAATGGCATTCGGTTCGATCCCTCTATTTTGCATCTCTTGCATGAGATTATTAGCCTTTTCATGCTCCAACGACTTGCCATAAATCTTAATCATCGTATTATAAGTAACAACATTCTGCACGATATCCTTCCTCTGCATCAACCTGAAAAGATGGATCGCTTCTCCGAAAAGCTCGGCCTCACCGTAAACTTTCAAAAGGTATTGTAACTAACAACATTAGGCTCAATCCCCATCTTCCTCATACTCCAAAACAACCTATCTGCCTCCCTCGCCATATCAAGCTGACCATAAACATCAATCATGATATTACAAGTAGTAAGATCAAGGGGACATTTCACTTCATTCATCTCAGCAAACACTGATAATGCCTCAACAAATTTAGAGTTCTCCACAAACATAGTCAAAATAGTTGAATAGCTAACCGTATCAGGCATAACGCCAACATCCCTCATTTCCTTCACTAGCAACCGTGCTTCTCTGAACAATTTAGCCTTTCCAAAGACATTAATCATCGAGTTATAACAAACTAGATCGGGCACGATCCCTGACCTCTTCAATTTATTAAAAATCGAAATGGCTTTGGAATAATCACGCAACTTCCTTGATAATTCAATCAAATTACTAAACAAAACAAGATCACCCGAAACACCATCATTTTCCATCTTTTGAAGCCAAGACAAAGCCAAATCAAACATACCCTCTTTCCCGAAATACGTTATCAGCGTCGAGTATGTAAACCTGTCGGGTGTTAACCCTTTCTCACGCATTTCTTCGAACAGGCCATGGGCGACTGCCCATTCTTTAGCTTTCACCACGTTTCGAATAACAACGTTGTAGGCGAAGAGCGAAGGCGAGTAACGAGCTTCTTCGTTGATCCAATCGAGTAAAGCCAACGATCTTTGCCAGTCCTTTTCGCGGGAAAGGAGTGAAACCATGAAACGGATAGAGAGTTGCCGGGTTTTGTATGGGGATAGAAGGATAAAAAGGTCATTTTCGTTTTGGGTTTTGGATATCGAAGCCAAAAGCTCGTCCATGTCGACGCTGTGGTCCAAAAAGGTCGAGTTTGGAGGCGATTTGGGTCGGGGAAACCGGGTCGTTCCAGGTCTTCTCCAAATGTCTTTGGCTGGTGAAGAAGAAGAAAGCGAGCGGAGGATGAAATGGTTTGGGGTTTCAGTGTTAAGGGTATGGTGGTGTGAATTTGAGGATTGTGGAGGGGGATAAATGGAAAAGAAAAGCAATGAGATGCTGCCATGGCTTCCCATTGCATGGAAGAGAAAGATAGAGTCATCATCCGTCACACAAGGTACAGAAGCGAATACAAATTACTAGTATTATTTAATTCCGTAAACCCAGTTTGTTGCCATTATTTTATGAGTTTTTAATCATTCATTCTTTTATAAATAGATAAATAAAAAACAAAAAAAATCTTGTCTCTAATTAAAAACTTAATTTTAAATATTTTTTTTTCATTCAGATGCTTTTTTATACATATAATAGGTTATAATATTATTTTATTATTATTTTAAAATCAATATCGTTAAAAAAATCTGTCTCTAAACGAATGCATGACACTTTTCCTAATTCCTCTTCTTTTAACTTTTATTTCAAATTAGTCATTTTTTATTGAGAATTGTCCGTTCAATTTTATTTCAAATGAATTTTAAATCAAAAGAAAATTCAAAATACATGAAAAGATAAGGATTAAGAATATTTTGATTAGCCTTATTTCAAATTGATTTTTTTCATGAAGGATAAGAATCAATAATATGTTAAAAGGATATTGTGAAAAGGTTGTATTATGTACGAGAAGGATCGATTATTATTTATGTCCACAACAAATCTACAATATTTTGTATTCAATTTCTCATAATTGAAGTAAAAGTGTATATACAAAATACCATTTTATACAAAAATATAGAGTTCATTTTTTACATAATTAAGAATAAATTGATAAATATTTTTACAAAGTCATTAAATGTATTTAATAGATTTAAAAAATTGATATGAAAAGCTGAGATTGAGAGAGAATGTTGGAAATCAAATCCAACCAGGTTTCTTTGAGTCGGCAAGGCAAAGAATTGTGAAGAAGATTCATAATTTATATATCAATTACATGAAATCTCTACTTCTGGTTTTGCATTTTCAAATATAGTTTAGTACAAGTAATCATAAAAAAACTGTAATGTGAGATTGGTATAAGCATAATTGTTGTTGCTTTCGGTAGTTAAAGCAAGGATTTTACAACGAAAGCTAACTTTTTTTTAAGGGATCTTATTCAAGTGAGAATCTTTGATGGCTTAAAAACTTAGTTTTACGTTTGTTTAGTATGTAAATGCCCATTTTTACTTACTGATTTACTGTCTTTCTTTCCTATAAAAGCCGGCATGATCTTCTCTGAACAAATCTGAATGTCCAAGAATTATATATGAACAAATCTACATGATCCGATTCAAATTGAGTTTAAAAGGGAGTGTTAAAAATCAAACGCTTGACAAATATAAGTTTGTGAGTTTTTGAGTCGAATTTAGTTTTAAATTTTTTTGGTAGAGTCGAATTTAGAAATACTCCAATTCAACTTGACTCACTTACAACCAGTAGCAGCAGAGGTGTGCCCACCCTGAAATTAGATTTTCTTTATGTTAGTTGTTTATTTTACTGATGTCGTCCACCTTGAAATTTTATTTGTATTTACCCCATACAAAAAATTTCTATTATTAATACATGTGTGTCCATCCTAAAAATATTTTTAGAACTAGCACGGTTTACAACCCTACATATAATGTCTAATTTATGTATTTTGACTTGAAATTTATTTAGATTATGAACAAAATTTTATTATAATATATTTATTAATTAATTCAGTTCAAATAAATATACTTAATTCGACTTAAAAAAATTAAATAAATATTGAACGATAAAATACTATTCATAACTCAACTAAAACAAATCAGTTCACCTAACCTGACAATCGAATGTGCATCCATCCATTGTCGTCCAGTGGTTAGGATACCTGGTTTTCACCCAGGAGACCCGGGTTCAATTCCCGGCAATGGAATTGTTATGTTTTGCTCTTTTTATTTTATTTCTTTTGACAAAGTTTTTGTACTGCAATGGCGTCCATGTCTAAAAATTTGTCTGTAACAAACTCTAGCTTGAAGAACATTTTTGGAATGTGCTATTCATATATATGTATATGGATACCGTAGTAAATATGATATTTCCACGAACATGCATTTGGACTTCAATGGATTTGAAATCTGCAGGGTGAACTGAAAGCAATCATTATATACGTATAGTGAGGAAATGCATGGATGCATTAAACTTTGTATGTATGTATGTGAAGAGCCTCCATGCATGGAGGTTTTGATGGCTTGGGAAAAGGGCGGAGTATTAAGCCTACAAGAGGCAGTTGTTGGTTAACCAATTATACTGATCATGCATGAAAGTAATTTTCAAATTGCAGTAATGGATGTCTACGTTTCAACTGAAACCAATTGTGGATAAAATATGAATTATATTGTTGATATTGTTTGCTTTTGACCCACAAATTGAATTTTGATACCCGTTATACGTCTGTAGATAGTTTTTCACGTCGTTCGAGTTTGATTTGCGATTTTTCGGTGATCTTTCAGTAAATTTATCCCCTTTTTGTGATTCGTTTAATAATGTGATCAAATATGTTTGTATTTATCTTTGTTCGAGTTTTCTTGGTTAGATTTTAATATTTCATTGTATGGTCTATGATTTTAAGTTGCTAGTTTTGTTTCAATCATTATAGGAGATTGTCCTAATTATATGTTTAATTTACGATTACGATTGTAAATTGTAATTTAAGATATTTTCTATTTTAAATAAAATTAGTTATTTAAAAAAAACAGACTCAACCAAATTTCTTTGAGTCGCCAAGGCAAGGAGTTGTGTAGAAGATTTATGATTTGTTTAGCAATTACGTGAAAAAATTAGTTAATATGTTGGCAGAATAAAAGCTCAACATCAAAGATATCAAAATATAGATTATGGCAGCATTGTTTGAAACTTCATAAAGTCAATGAAAACATGCGACAACAATCACACGAAAATCAAAGAACAACACTAGAGTTGTATTGAAGTGAAAATAAAAAGAAAATTAGCAGTAATTAATTAATGCAGTAAATATTTTTACTCGTATCTTGATTCGTAATTGTTGGAAGTGAATACAACCTCTATATAATTATTTTATTGGAGATATATTTTATAAATATTCTAAAATAATTTAGATATTTATAACATTCTAAAATCCTTGACGGTAAAAATATTATTGTTTTTATTTTGAAGTTTTGAGTTTAAATACCGTGAATGTAGTACCGTGAATGTCAGGGTGTCCTATCCTTTTTTAGATCAGTATCTTTTCGATTCGAAAAAAGAGATGGAGAAACAGAGAACATGAAAAAAATTTAGAGAGGAAGGTCAAGTGTTTCAGATTTGAAAAATATATTTCAAGGTCGGAGAAGAGTACGAAGATCTCTGGTTTTAAAGGTTCTTTAAAAAGAAGCTAATGTCATTGTTTGGTTTTAATCGAGGTTGAGAGGGTTAGATTTTGGAAGGGGAAGTTCGCGCCCTGAGAATCGGACCATACTTATCCGAAAATTTCTTTGCTGGGATTGTAGTACCGACCTCTTACTTTGATTTGATTCAATTCATCTAAATCAAACTTCTAATTTTGTTTTTATTTCAATTTTGTTTTTTTTTTAATTGTCTTTTAATTTCGATACCGAATTTTATATGCTTGTGATTTAATCCTAAGGAACATGGCAAGGGTAATAAAAATTGACAATCCGACTAATCTACCTCTTTCATCATCGCACTTGGTTTATAAAATGCATATATACCGGAAATACTGGACACGTTTGAGACAGGAGAAACTATTTTCTTTGAACATTAGACACAGATGAACGTAAAATAGTATTAGTGGACATTGATTTTCCTTTTCTATTAATAATTGAAATTTGGGTGCTTAAAATTCGGGGTCTCCATCGACAATATAAAACTTGTTGGCCATCAAGCTTCCCTCAATTTCCTTTCTGCCAACCAATCTCTGCTATTCTTGATCATCTTTTATTGAAATAAGAAACTTTTCTATATATAAAAAAAACTTTAGCATTTGCTTACAAATCCCATTTTTTATTAATCAATCTTATTGCATTTTTTTTATATTTGATTTAGAGCAGTGGCCATGGAAATCTTCCAGACAGCTAGCGTTGTTCGTTTATGTAGCCACCATGACAAATTCTTAGTAGCCAACGACGATCAGGAAACTGTCGGCCAAGATCGAGACGGGTCATCGACGAAAGCGCGGTGGATAGTGGAGTTCCCGGAGTCAAGCTCGATGCATATTCGTCTCAAAAGCTGTCACGGAAAATACTTGACGGCTTCGAATATGCCATTTCTCATCGGAATGAAAGGGAAAAGGGTGTTGCAAACCTTGCCGAGACGACTAACATCTTCAGTTGAATGGGAACCCGTTAGGGAAGGCGTTCAGGTTAGGTTCAGGACACGTTACGGCCAGTATTTACGTGCGAACGGCAAGTTCCCTCCGTGGAGGGGTCACATTACGCATGATGTTCCGCATCTATCCGTGACACAAGACTGGATTCTTTGGACCGTTGAGATTTTAGAAGAACGGCAACCAGGAGCTTCGCCTCATCTTCTACCTCCACCTCCTGTCGAGACGTCTTCTCCGCAGCATATCGATTCGAATTTGGATTCGGATTCAGAGATCTCACTTAGGGGCCCTAGAGAGTCTACCCTTGAGGTTCGATAAACATGTTTTCGTTTGATTAATGAATTTATTTATGTTGTAAAAGTCTATTGGTCTGAATAATTTATTTTGACATGTAGGCTGATGAATCAACAGAAGGTTCAGGAGGGACATTTGAAGGAAGGATAATTAAGTACGAGGTAGTAGATGAAAATGGTAATGTTGATAAGACAATTGGAGAGCGAAGCTTCACATTTAAAGGCAATGGGGTGGAGGAATTGAAGAAGATGTTGAAGAAGGAGGCAAAGGTGGATGAGGAGTTCACCATCTGCTCGCACAACACTTTCAACGGCAAGCTTTATGCACTTCGAGTGGGTCTTCTTCCCAACAACTCCGCCATGCACGTTGTTCTTGTTCCTCAATCATGTAAAGGTTGTCAATTCGTAATAATCAGAGTAATATAATGTTATATTAAATTGTGTTTTTTCCATAAACTAATGATATTGTTTCGTGGAACTTGTACCAGCCGCGAAAGATCTTGGGAGTGGTTGAGTCTTACAGAAATCTCACCCGACTGTGCTGCATTTGAATCAAATGAAGCACCAACGACAGGCTACTAATGAAATGTATGCATAGGGAAGGAAATTTGGAAAAGGAATTATTTCAACCAAGGATTTTTTTTTGAACAGTTGGCAGATGTATACTGAAATAAATTTTGTAAAGTTTAAAGCTTAACTACTTTATTGTTATAATATTAAACATTTCTTAAATATGAAATGATAACTGTTGATTCAATGTTAGTTTTATGTATGATTGTAAATTATTAGAACATATATTATCTTGTAATAACTTTAAATTAATAAAAAAAATTATACCACACAATAAAAAATAAATCAAATAGTATGTATAGTCAAATCAAACTAAATTAAATGTGACTAGTAAATCTTAATTAAATTAAATTAGAATTTTTATTTGAAAAAATCACTGCATGAATCAAGTTACCTAAATGATTAAATGATTTGTTATTATCCTTTGAAATTTCATATTTGAGTACCGTAAAGATATGAACATTCATTATCAAAGTTTTGAAAGAATTAAAACATATGCTACTTGTCTTCACCCAATATATATATATATATATATATATATATATATATATATATATATATATATATATATATATATATATATATATATATATATATATATATATATAAACACTGCATAGACCTAACCTCGACAAACTACTTCAATTATACGCATATTATGTAGGGGTTTCCACTTGCGTATTGGTGTAAACAGTCGAGCTCCCTACAGAGCGAGTTGGGGGGCACCTTGTCAATTTATCTGTTTGAGCCATTCCACAATAATGCGCCTGCACCGATACTTGCGGTGTTCTCATGCAAGCTGACATTTCACGCTGGATTGAAGGTTTGGTTCATAGCATGTTGTCAACCATGAACGCGCACGCGATATTACACTGCCCACTTTCTATGTGGTCCCTACGAATGTTCTTAGTTGGAGTGTCACTCTTCTGGCACTTATTCGGCTCGCTCAGGGTATAAATGGCTGTTGTGGAGCCCACTTTCTATTATGGTTATTCTTATCCAGACTCCCTACGTTGCCTCAAGTCCGACTATTCGGGTGGTGTACAACGCATGAAGCTTTGATCGTCGGTCGCCGGTTATTCCTTGTTGGAGTTGCCTATCCACATTGTTGTTTGTGTGGGTCGACTGACGAGTCTGTCTCTCACGCTTTGTGCGATTGCCTGAAGGTACGTATGATTCTTGATTCCGCCGGTTTTAATGAGCTTGGAGACCACCATAAAGCCATGTTATTTTCCAGTTTCGGTGGATGGCATGAGCATATAATGTAATCCTTCACAATGACCGGATTCACGACTATCTTCATTATCCTTTGGAAGGTATGGCACAGGTCTTATTTCATGAGGCTCATTGTTTACCGGGTTGGCAGCTCCTTGCTACCGACGAAGTGATGCAAACCGCTTACCTCGATGCCAATGTTACAGCCTCCGGTGGTTCACCATCATTTTCCTTTTGAGTTATATACATGTCACCATTATCGGGGACCCTCAAGATTAATGTCGATGGGACATAGAGACGGAGTCAGATATTAATTTAAGGGGTAAAATATAACTAACAATAGAAATTGGAATGGGCAAAAATGAAACTAAATTAAAACTAGAAGTACTAAATAGATTTTTTTCCATATATTTTTTAATATTAAAAAATTGTGGGGAGGTGGCCCCCATGCTTCGTCCCTGATGGGGCATGTCCTAGACTCACAGATACACAGACCATCGGGATCATCATCCGTGACTGTACGGGTCAGTGGTGGAGGATTGTGTTCTTCCTATCTCGGGACCTTAGGATGTTGGCCTCCTTGAAGCTCATGTCATGCACTATGCTACGGGGTTTGCTTGGCAGTTGATAGGGACTACACCCACGTTGTCATCGAGAGTAACTCCATGCACATTGTACAACAGTTGGAGCAACACCACTCGGATCGTTTGGCTCTGCGCTTCTACCTATCCCGGGCCCGCCGTCTTTTCGACTCTCACCCACATATCTGCATTACTGCATTTGCCATGTGCGCCGGGAAGTTAATGCCGTCGCCCATATGTTAGCTACTTATGTTTCTCAGACAATAGTGCTTTTGTATTCTAATACTGTAGTTCCTTCTTGCATTTCTTCTGTAATTGCTTATGACGTTAATTTCGATTAAATGATTGCATGGTTAAATTTTAAAAAAATAGTAATCTAAATTAAATTTCAGAGACAAATACTAATTTAATTAAATTGGATCGATTTATATCATAAAATAATATCGAGAGCTGTTAGTGTAAATTATATTGGACTGGAAGGACTCTGAAAATTTTCGCAAAAGTTTTGATATCATAAAATAATATCACTTGGAAATTAAAATAAATTGAAAAATCTAAAAACTTTAAATATATATTTAAAAATTATAAAAAAATAAAAATAGATAAATATTTTAAAATATAAAAGATACATAATATATATATATTTAAAAATATCACCCAAAAAAAAATCTTGGTGAATCTTCCTAAAACGAAACCTACGTCTATTTGAACACAAAAACCAAAATTTATCGTCTGAGCTAACACTGTTCGACGCCACTTCCAGCCCACTCTCGTCTGACGCCGCCAAACAAGCCTCTCTCCGTTGTCCTACTCATCCGGTCCCTGACCCAAGGTCTCTTTTCCCCAAAAATCAAATAAAGGTAATTTTTGAAATCCTAAACTTACCTTGAAGGTTGATTTCGACGTGAGATTTTGAGTTACTGTTCGTTTTGTGTTATCTGATCTCTGCTATATTTGATTTTCTGTTTTCGGTCCTTCTGCTTGATACTCTGTCTCATCTTTCTTTCTTCAAATATTAATCTATTTCTTTCTTGCCACAAATATGCATGTGGGTACAAAAACAATAGGGAGTGTCTTGTTGAATCATATGTTTAACTCTGGGGATTTTCATTGTATTTTATCTTTACTATACGCTTTTTTGATTATGTTTTTATCTTTTTTTAACTTAATATTTTGTTAAAAGCAACAGCTTTTGAGCCAACCCTTTTGTTGGATAACTTGGTTATGTCCAAAAGTTTTTTATTGGACTTTTCAGCCTTTGATTTATGTTGCTTTGAACTGTTATCTACCCATTATCTTCCTTTTGTTCTGTTCTTCATGAACTGGTAGGTATGGCTGCAAATATGTTCGTGGTTCCTCAGACACAAGGCACTGTCTTGTGTTGCAAATGTGGTATTTTGATGGCGCCAAATCCCGCAAACATGTGTGTGACATGTTTGAGGTGTGAAGTTGACATTACTGAAGGTTTACGAAAGCATGTCACTATCATGCATTGTCCAGAGTGCGATTGCTACTTGCAGCCGCCCAGAACTTGGTTAAAAGCTCAGCTGGAATCGAAGGAGCTATTGACATATTGTGTGAAACGACTCGAGACTGATTTGAAAAAGGTTAGGCTAGTAAATGCCGAATTCATTTGGACTGAGCCTCATTCTAAGAGAATCAAGGTCAAGCTGAAAGTTCAGAAGAAGGCTCTTAATGGAGCAATTCTAGAGCAATCTTATGTTGTTGAGTATGTTCAGCAGGATCACATGTGCGAATCTTGTACCAGGTTTCAAGCCAACCCAGACCAGTGGGTGGCTTCTGTGCAGCTAAGACAGTGTGTTTCGCACCGACGCACTTTCTTTTATCTGGAGCAGGTCATTCTGAAGCATGATGCTGCTGTCCATGCCATTAAAATCAAGCAGATGGATCGGGGTATCGACTTTTTCTTTGGCAACAATAGTCATGCCTTGAAATTTGTTGAATTTTTGGGCAAAGTTGTTCCAACAGATAAGGGTAAGCGTTCCCAGCAGCTAGTTTCTCATGATACTAAGAATAATAGCTACAACTATAAGTACACATACTCGGTTGAAATATCCCCTATCTGCCGTGAGGATTTGATTTGTTTGCCTCCAAGATTTGCTGTTAGTTTGGGGAATTTCGGTCCACTTGTAATCTGCACAAGAGTGACGAACAACATTACATTGCTCGATCCATTTACTCTTAGGCAATGTTTCTTAGACAGGGACCAGTTTTGGAGGTATTCCTTTAAGTCTTTACTTAGTAGCAGGCAGCTGGTGGAATATGATGTCTTCAATGTCGAAGTTGTTTCTCCAGAATATAATGTTGGTGGCTGCAAATATGTTATAGCTGATGTTGAAGTGGCTCGTGTTAACAATTACAGTAAGTTGTTTTGCGTAAGAACTCATCTGGGCCACATATTAAAGCCTGGAGATCGTGCTCTTGGTTATGACCTTTATGGTGTCAACTCTAATGATAATGAACTAGACAAGTACATAGACCTTGTAGTTCCTGATGTAATATTGATAAAGAAGAGCTACGAAGAGAAACGCCAGAAGAAGCGCGGGAAGCCTCGTCCTTGGAAGCTTAAGTCCCTCAACATGGAACTCGATGAATCCAGCGAAGAGAAGATGGGCTTAGAGTACGAAGAATTCTTGAGAGATCTGGAAGAGAACCCTGAACTAAGGTTCAACTTATCGTTGTACCGCGACAGAGATTACCAACCATCGGAAATTGCATCCATGGCTGATGATGATGATGATGTGCCTTCTGTTCCATTGGAAGAGTTGCTTGCTGATCTGGAGTTGAGTGATGTGGAAGATGGTGAAGATAGCATGAGAGAATGATGATCAAAGTTGGAATTTTCATGTAATTTCATTTATTCTTTTTATTCCTCGAGACTTGCATGGAAGAGGTAATTTGAGTTTTTTGTTTCGTGTTCTATGTTTCTTTGAGTTTTGCTACCCGGGACTAAACCAGGGACCACTGGTTTGTAAGACTTCATAATATCTTATCATAATCTATTTTTCTTTAAGTTTTATTCAGAGTTACTGAGCTTTGAACCTTTAAATGGCAATAACCACTAATATCATTAAGCTGATCATGGGTTGGATTGGAATTGGATTGAGATTAAAATTATAGTAGTATTTGATATTTGAGTCTTAGCTCGGCTTGAAATATGTCTTGGTTTTTTTTAATATATTTTTATTTAAGGTGTAGTAATTTTTATCTTTCCTTCCCGTTTTTAAAGATTGCATCGTAATATATTTTTAATGTTCAGTGTAGAGTGTTATATATATTTCATATTGGTTTACATTTAAACATATAAAAAACCAGTAAGAAAAGCACGCCTCTAACAGTTATGAGAGAAACAATGATCCTTGGCTTATAAAGCCAGGCAACTCTCTTTATCTTTCCTTCATTAATTTCATTTCATGTAAAACCACCTCGGTAAGAAATGATTAAAAAAGTTACCACAGTTTTAACCGCTATGCCGCCTCTATTGTTTTTTATTAATGAAACCATTGAAATTAAACAGTAGATAGAGATTCGCAACATCCTCAGAAAAATTCTTAAGCCTCTACCATACTCTTCCCCAAAAAGACCTTATCATCATAACCTCTCAAGGCTTGAGTGCCAAAGCAAGTCCCACCTGGGGGCTCTTGTCAATGGACTTGGTATCCACCTCTCCTGAAATTGTAAACAGGGACTTTGGGCGCCACTCGTGCTGGATGACTGCACTTGCCTTGCCTACATTGTTCACCCGTGCCTTGACGGTGGTCAATGGGTCCAGTGCATGTTGTGTCCCCACAGTGATGGTGTTCACATTGGTAGAGAAGCTATGGGTCACCTCAGCACCAACAGCAGTATTCGTCAACGGATTCACGATATGATAGTAGGATGCGTTAACAAAGTCACCCTTTTCATTCCTGCATCAACAAAACAAGGAATTAAATTATAAATGTACATATATACACACACTCGGGAATTTCAGCTGCAGTAAGGTGCATAGAACATAATCACATACAAAGCCAATGAAGCAATTAGATCTGCATTGGAGAAGCTCAATCCAGCATTGCATTTAGTGAAATTCCCAGTCTTCATGTCGAAAGATATATCGGTTCCGAGTGCAAGAACATTTGTCCCCAGCACACCTGAGAAATTAACTACTGGGTTTGCAGTCAATCCAATGCTTGAGCTTATCCCAGCGTACTCATGCAAATACTGGAGTTCAATCTGGTATACATAGAGAGGAAATAGACATGTCCAACAGTATCATGAAGCTGTACCCACGCTAGAGGCAATTGTAACACGTTCTTGAGCTAAAAGCCAAAACAAGAAGGAAGTTTCTGATGCTACAAATTGAAATTTTACAACAGAATCACATACCTTTCCAGATCTCTGATCAGGCACTCTGATGCTAAAGATTGCCTTCAGACCAGGTGCAGGTTCATCAACCGTTATGGTGGTAAATAGCTTATAAACAAAAAACTAGTTTAGCACAACAAATAACTTATAAAAGATGGTACACATACGTATCAATAGCCAAGGAATACAAAGGGAAAGAAAGGAACTATGAACTCAACAAAAAGGATCCTTTAATTGCATAGCATTTTCTGCCAAAAAGATCAGATCCCCAAAAGTTACATCATGATCTAGTGATATGATGTTCTAAACAATGATATCAAGCACATATTATCCTAATTAAAGCACATGTTTCAAATTAGAGGGGATAATCCGTGCATGGGAAAGGTAAAACCAATTGAATTGGATATTCCAATGAGGTTGTTTTCAAGGTCAGAACCCTTCTAATGCTTGTATCAGGGGATGATAATTGATTAGTAATTTTCTTAGAAAGAAAGAACCTCGATATAGGACAAAGGATATATATATAATTGAGAAAAGAACCAGGGTTTTAAAAAACGGTCTGCGACCGCGATTTCGACCACGATATAGCGGTTTCGCCGCCGTCCGAGTTACCCGCGACGGCCGCAATAGCGTCCGCGACAGCCACAATCAAGGTAAATCCGAAATAACCGAAAACGCGACCGCGATTTGAAACCCTGAAAAGAACATCATATCTCACTCGTAAAAAAGAAACTGTAACCAGGCCAGTCAAACTTATATATCAAATAACAAATAAACAAAAAGAACAGAAAAACTACTTACATTGGAGTTAGTGCCCACTTTGATATCAGTCGTGACATTCTTATTCTTCAGCTGGGTGTTAACATCAGCCAGAAAGAGTTCACCTTTCTTCGTTCCAGCAGAGGTAATTGCCTAAAGATAAAGAGGAAAAAAACCAACCCCAAATGTTAACACAAGTTCTTAAAGCAGATCAGAACATCAAGCATCTCCCATGATACATTGCAGTAAAAAGGATGAGATAACCATGGTGAAATCTAACAACATAATAGCCAGAAACGCACTAAATTACATATATGTACATGTCTGAAGAACATATTAGCTAATAGCTAGGCCTGTAAACGAATCGAACGCACACGAACGAAGGTATGTTCATGTTCGTTCATTTAAAAAATAAACGAACATAAACGAACACGAACATAAACGAACAAAATTTTTTTTGTTCATGTTCGTTTATTAAGGAATATAACTTGTTCATGTTCGTTCATTTAATAAATAAACGAACATAAACGAACACGAACATAAACGAACACGAACATAAATGAACACGAACATAAACGAACATAAACGTTGGAGACCCTACCTTCCATTGTTCTTTCATGAAAAATAGTCGACAATGCAAATCAACCAAATCTACAGTGATAAATAGCGTAAGAGCTTATTAGCAGTGATGAAATGTTTGAAGATATCAAATATTTCGATCTATCTTTTAAAGATATTAAATGATTCACACGACTTTAATTTAACGCTATAACATTTTATCTTAGTGTTCCATGATTACATATGAACAATCATTTTCCGCTATTACACTTTTTTTCAGAAATTGCATAGAAACCTTTGTTTTGTTTTCTGGCAAATTCTATATAATTTTTCTTTTTACTGATGCTCATATACTTCCGATTTTTACCTTTATCTTCCCATCTATTTCTAGAAAGAAGTATTATGTTTTCTTGAGTTTTAGATGTGAAGATACCCACAATAACTTTACATATCAACTATTAAGTCAAATAAAACAGAGAAAGAGATGAAAACAGACATGTAAAACTTCATATTGCACTATAATATAACTTGTTTTGAATCTTTCAGAGATCGTCTCCACTCTCCAGTGAACAATAAAGTTTGGGAAAAAAAGGGGAAAATGAATATAAGTGCGAGGTGCCTCACAGGTTAACATATTGGATTTAATCTCCAAATAAAATTGGGCTAATTATGGAGTTGGTCATCAAAATATCAGATTAATATTTTTAAGATACTTACAAATTGGTCACCAAAATTGATTTAAGAAGATTGTGTTAAACATAAATGAATGAACATAAACGAACATAATCGAACGAACATAAACGAACATAACCGAACGTTCACGAACGTAAATGAACGAACGAGACCTATGTTCATGTTTGTTCATTTAATTAAACGAACAAAAAATCTTGTTCATGTTCGTTCATTTAATAAATAAACGCACATAAACGAACTTCCCGCCGCACGATTCATGAACGGTTCGTTGAACGTTCAGTTCATTTACAGGCCTACTAATAGCCTTTAAGGTCAGCTGAAATTATTCATTCTTTTGTTTGTAATTAACATAACTTTATAATAACACATGCATAAAAAGATCCCACAAAATCTAAAAAAAATCTAAAAAATGTAGACAAAAACAGAATTTTGGTTCACGGAATGCATTTTATCGAGCTGAAGAAACCCAGAAAGAAAGCTAAGAAAATCTCAACAATATCATAAAACGTGATTAATTTAAAGAAAACCTTGGGTTCCACATAACACAAAGCATCTAAAGTTAATGCCTTAATTTAAAGATCTCAGAAAATAAAGACAAAAATTTAACCCCAAATAACGAAGCACAAAAAAAAAAACTTACAACTCCAGTGGGAGAGGTAGTGGTCAGAGTGAACTTTTGGTCAGTCTGATAATCCTTGTAAAGAAGATCTATAAAATCCCAAAAAAAATAAAGAAGAAACATGAATTACAATTTGAAGCTTCAAATAAGTACAAAAATGCGAAATTACTGTTAAAGTAAATCGTATTTTTATACCTCTGGCTTTCTTGCCGATTTCAGCGTAGAGACCCGGACCCTTGCCCATCTTATCTCCTTTGGAATTTAAAACCTCTAGAGGAAAAAGACCATTCGGGAAGAATTTCGGTGATAATAAAAGAGAAAAATTAGAAATTAAGCTTCTTTTGAGGATGATAAATAAATAGAGGAATCCAAAACCCTGAGTTCCACCACCCACTTCGGGGATTAGGGTTTTGGGGTTAAAATATTATTTTATTAATGGAAAGCTGTGAACCGTTGGATGCTAGAGTTGAGTCGGTTTCGCTTCGCTTTTATCGTTGATCCAATTGAAGGTATTTGCATAGCCATCAAGAAATGATTTTCTCAAATTTTTGTGTGGCTTCGATAAAAAATAAAATATTCTTTTAAAAACTTTAAATTCAAACCATTATATTTATAGAGTATATATTATCGATAAATTAAAAAAATAATATTTAAATAATATTATTTTATAATTATTTAAATTTTTAGAAATAAATTTTCTCCATAAAAATATGTTCTTACTATAACATCAACATTAAATTTAAGTTCATATTCGTTGATGAATTTTTAAAATGTTATATCTCCTAATAGTGAAAAAACATTTTTATATAGGTATTTTTTTTTTACATTTGCGTGTGTTTAAAAGATGTTTTATTCAATAAATATTTTTTTATTTCAAAATTAAAATTAAAAAATTAAAAAATTAAAAATTAAAAATTCGACAAATAATATGTTTAATTAACTATTTTAAATATAACTATATCATAAAATTTTGAAAAGTTATAATTTTATCCTCACATTTCCTATTAAGGTAACAAGAAATAAATCTATATAATTTTTTAAGATATACACGCTAAAGAGCAAAAATTTTCTTGATTTGGTTTTTATTATGAAAAATATTATTTTGACTTTTAATTTTTTATTAATAGTTTTGAAGTTTGACTTTGTTGTTTTTTTATCCAACCGGACTTATGCATTTATTTGTTGAATGCTTTTATGTTCTTTCATTTATTCCTCTCAATGTCTGGGCAAAGCCGAACATCAATATTGATCCCTCGTTGAAAGTTATTGATCTTTGTGAACGCGATGGATGTTGGGACTACTCCAAGCTTCATGACTTATTCCTACCGGAAGCATTATTACCATTACAAAACATCCATGCGCCAAGCCCCTCTCTCGGCAACGATTGCTGCTATTGGAGTGTTGATCCAAAGCGAAGATTCTCGATTAAAGGCGCATACAACATACTTTCAAAACAAGATTGGGAGGAGTCGAAAGCATCATGGAAGCTAATCTGGAAAGCTACTGTCCCTGAGTGTATTCGAAGTTTCTTATGGCTCGCCTTCCACGACAGATTGCTCAGTAACCAAGAGAGATGCCGACGTGCCATATTTGCGAGAATTCGAGCGAACCTCTTTTACATATCCTCAAGAGACTGCTCCCAGACTCACTCTTTATAGAACTCACTTCTTGAAGGCCAATCATCACTTCTTGAACCCCTCTTCTCAGACCCGACTTCCTTTCTTCATTCGGCTATCACCTGGGCACGTCTATATTCCTCACCTACATTGAATTCTGTTATCGACGACCATAACATTGATGCTTCTTCTATTACTCAGACACAATGGCACTCCCCTCCTATGAATTGGATTTGCCTAAATTCAGATGTCGTCGTCTCTTTAGAATCATGTCTCGGGATAGCAGGGGGTTTAATCCGTTATCATCGTGGAAATTTTCTTCTAGCTTACAACAAGAACTTAGGCATGTCCTCAGTCCTTCACGCTGAATTTTAGGGTGTTTTTATAGGTCTCAAACTTGCTGGTTGCATGATTTTGAACGAGTTGTGGTGCAAACCGATAACTCCGATGTACATGCCTTGTTCTCTCCTCCCTCGGCCGAGAATCCATTCTCGTTGATTTGTTCAATTGCGGCTATGGTCCACAGACCACAAGGCTTGGTTTATTAAATTTGTCTTAATCCCACGGGAAGCCAATTAGGAAACTGTTTTCTTAGCTAAAACATCATTGAGATCATACTATTCACTTCAAGTGATCGAATCCCCTCCAGCTCCTTTCCTCCCGATTCTATAAAGAGATATGGTTGATCCTTCTTATAACCATGTAATATGTTAATCTTCTGGCTTCGGCCTCATTTGCATTAAAAAAATGTTCTTTTCTTTTTCCTAAATTTTCAGGAGTTTACGATGATGAAGAAGCTGGCTGCAAGGGCATACGATTTAGCTGGCACTACAAGTATTGGGGGACATCGACTTTCACCAATTTCCCGGTAACTAGCACCTTCTATTAGTTTCTTCTGATAGGAAAAAAGGGTTGTAAATATGGAGATTCGAACCTCAAACTGGCTTATACCCGGATTCCGAACTTCTATTAGTTTGAACACACATTAATGGGTGTAACATGTAAAGATGCGATCTAACTCCCTTTGATGATTTTTGCAGATATCAGACTATGAAAAAGAGATTGAAATCATGCTAACTGTGACAAACAAGAGTACTTGGCCTCATTAAGAAGGTAAACTCTTTATGTATATCAAATCACAAATATATATACTTATCTAAATTCTAAAGGCTATTATTACTAAATAATGTATGCCAATTTGAATTTCTTTGATCCAGAAACAGCAGTGGGCATTCAAGTGGGGTATCACAAGTATAGGGGAGTTGCAAGGTACTTTGCTGGAGTCTCTGGTTATTAATTATGTTCCCCTCGTTCGGAAAGCATGTATTATGATAAAAATAAAAAGTTTGAATAATATAAATAAATAAATGATATTTTCAATTTTAAGAAGAAAAAAAAGATTAGTTGCACAAACCAATCTATCTCAGTAATTAAATTGATGGTATCCCTAGAGGCCACATGATTGAACACCGGAGACTATAAAAGTATTTGAACTTTCATTGTTAATTAGTTAATAATCTTTATAACATATACTATTTATAATCGCTTTAATTACTCTTCAAGTTGATAACATTTTTCTAGGAGTATGGTTAAGATAACATTGAATTACAAAGAAAGAGGTTCCTATTCAATTTATGAATCTACAAAGCAAAAGAAAACGCTAATAATGTGCAAAATGTAAATAAATTAGGTATAAAATTTATCTATAATTTCTTGTAAAAACTTTTTAATGTATGTAAATCTATTTTTATTCAAAATTATATATAAAGATATATAAATATTGATAAAAAAATGTTTTAGAATGATAAAAGGACTCTAATGGATTTGAAATTTCATAGATTTGGATAAATATTTTAATTTGATAAATTATGTAATGTTTAAAGGACTGTTTAGTAATTTCACAAAACACGTAGATTTCGTTCTCATCTAAACTGTAATTTCCAGACCCCCTTCCCCTTCTCTTGCCAGAAATCCCCCCCTCCCCCAAAAAATAAATTTCCCAAATCTGCATCTTTAGGGTTCGGTGTTTAATTCCAATTACCAATTCAGATCTTAATTGCTCAAATCAGTTGAAAAAGGGCCAAAATGTACGGATTCGAAGCTATAACATTTAACATCCACGGCGGTTACTTGGAAGCGATCGTGAGAGGTCACAGGGCCGGTTGACTCTTAACCGCCGCTGATTACAATAATCTTTGCCAATGCGAAACCCTTGATGATATCAAGATGCATCTCTCCGCCACCGAGTACGGCCCTTATCTCCAAAACGGTACGTTCCTTTCGTGATCTTCAATTCTCAATTTCAAATCTTCTATGATAATTCAATGATTTTCGTTTGAATTGAGTTGAAATTGATATTAATTTCAACTTCATGGAGTTAATTTAAAGTGCATCTTATTCACATTTTTGAACTATGGATCCCTTTATAATTTGATTATAAAACTTGCTGATCCTTTGTAGAACCTTCACCATTGCATACGACTACCATTGTGGAGAAATGCACTCTTAAACTTGTTGATGAGTATAAGCATATGTTATGCCAAGCTACGGAGCCATTGTCCACCTTCTTAGAGTATATCACGTATGTAAAGATTTGTCTTTGTTTTCCCCATCTTAGAGTATATCACGTATGTAAGCATATGTTATGCCAAGGTGATTTATTTCACATCTCATGATCTGGGTGATTTAATTGAATATTAACGGTGATCAGCTTGATCACTCATCTGAGTACTGGTGGATTTAATGTGGTGGTGTGAATTGTGTACATCATTTTGCTGCTAATGCATTTTTGTTAACTATTTAGCCTGTTAGATGGGGGGAGGGGGGCGCAAACAATGTGATCTTATATTTCCATAAAAGGGTTGGTTATTCCCTCATTCCATGATCTGGTTATTAAATTTTAAGCTCTAGTTGTAAGGTAGCTGACTTTGGTTGAGCTCTTTTGAGTTGTCTCAGTGATATTCAGAAAGCTGTCTGTTAAGATGGTGTTGTTTGCACAGATCGAACAATAGGTTGTTGCGGATTTTGCGAAACCCTAAGAAAATCTAATATTTTGATTGTTCCATTTAGATATGGTCACATGATCGACAATGTTGTCCTGATTGTTACTGGAACCTTGCATGAGAGAGATGTTCAGGAGCTTTTGGAGAAGTGCCATCCTTTGGGCATGTTTGACAGGTAATCTAAACCCTTAATAGAGATCAGGTTATTATCTCACCTCACATGATACATATGCTTACTTTCCTGTTTTGTTGCTTCAGCATTGCAACCCTGGCAGTTGCTCAGAACATGCGTGAACTCTACAGATTGGTTCTTGTTGACACTCCACTTGCTCCATATTTCTCTGAGTGTATTACTTCTGAGGTACATGGTTCTAACAACTTTTCTGATAGTGTTTCTTCATGTTAATTTTCTCTGATTACCTTGTCTGTAACTCTCTGTATAAGCATGCATGTCACATTGTTAGTAGCTGTGCTAGAGTGTTGTTTGTGCGATGATGTAATTTTCTAAACCTTTGATTTCGGGTTCATTCATCTTGGATTCTTTCCAGGATCTTGATGACATGAACATTGAAATTATGAGGAACACACTCTACAAAGCATACCTTGAAGACTTCTACAAATTTTGCCAAGTAAGGTTCTAATACAGAAGAAAGGTGGCTTTTATATTTGTATATGGCATATGTTGTTTTCAGTCCTTACTCGTTAATTTAAACATTTTCTTTTCATTACAGAAA